CTTAGGATTCCACTACGTACCGGTGCCTCTAGAGGTCTCCGTTGGACATGTCCAAACCATCTCAACCGGTGTTAGACAAGTTTTTTTTTCAATTGGTGCTACCCCTAATCTATCACGTATATCATTGTTCCGAACTCGATCCCTTCTTGTATGACCGCAAATCCAACGCAACATACGCATTTCCGCGACACTTATCTGTTGAACATGTCATCTTTTCATAGGCCAACATTCTGCACCATACAACATAGAAGGTTTAATCGTCGTCCTATAAAACTTGCCTTTTAGCTTCTGTGGTACCCTTTTGTCACATAGGACACCAGATGCTTGGCGCCACTTCATCGACCCTGCTTTGATTCTATGGCTAACATCTTCATCAATATCCCCGTCTCTCTGTAGCATTGATCCTAAATATCGAAAGGTATCATTCCTATGCACTACTTGACCTTCCAAACTAATATCTTTCTCCTCCCGAGTAGTAGTGCCGAAGTCATATCTCATATACTCAGTTTAGTTCTACTGAGTCTAAAACCTTTGGACTCCAAAGTCTTCCGCCATAACTCTAGTTTCTGATTCACTCATGTCCGACTTTCATCAACTAGCACTACATCGTCCGCGAAAAGCATACACCAAGGAATGTCCCCTGGTATGTCCCTTGTGACCTCATACATCACTAAGGCAAACAGATAAGGGCTCAAATCCGACCTTTGATGTAGTCCTATCCTAATCGGGAAGTCATCCGTGTCTCCATTACTTGGTCGAACACTAGCCACAACATTGTTGTACATGCCCTTAATGAGCCCGACGTACTTCGTTGGGACTTTATGTTTGTCCAAAGCCCACCACATAATATTCCTTGGTATTTTATCATAAGCCTTCTCCAAGTCAATAAAAACCATATGTAGATCCTTCTTTTTCTCCCTATACCGCTCCATAACTTGTCTTATTAAGAAACTGGCTTTCATAGTTGACCTTCTGGGTATGAAACCAAATTGGTTCATAGAGACCCGCGTTATTGCTCTCAAGCGATGCTCGATAACTCTTTCCCATAGCTTCATAGTATGGCTCATCAACTTAATTCCCCAGTAATTAGTACAACTTTGAATATCCCCTTTATTCTTGTAGATCGGTACCAATATACTTCTCATCCACTCGTTAGGCATCTTGTTCGATCGAAAAATATGGTTGAACAGCTTGGTTAGCCATACTATAGCTATGTCCCCGAGGCATCTCCACACCTCGATTGGGATACCATCCGGTCCCATCGCCTTACCTCCTTTCATCATTTTCAACGCCTCTCTGACCTCAGATTCTTGGATTCTCCGCACAAAGCGTCTATTGGCGTCATCAAAAGAGTCATCCAACTGAAAGGTTGTGTCCATATTCTCACCATTGAACAATTTGTCAAAATACTCTTGCCATCGATGTCGGATCTCATCCTCCTTCACCAAGAGATGCTCCCTTTCATTCTTAATGCACTTAACTTGGTTGAAGTCCTTTGTCTTTCTCTCACAAACCCTAGCCATCCTATAAATGTCCTTCTCTCCTTCCTTCGTACTCAAATGTTGGTAAAGATCCTCGTACGCTCTACTCTTTGCCACACGTACAGCTCGCTTTGCAGTCTTCTTTGCCGTCTTGTACTTCTCTATGTTGTCCACACTCTTGTCATGGTACAAGCGTCTATAGCATTCTTTCTTCTCCTTAATAGTCCTTTGGAATTCCTCGTTCTACCACCAAGTATCTTTAGCCTCGCCTCCACTTCCTTTGGTTACTCCACACACCTCTGGGGCCACCTTCCGAATATTGGTTGCCATCTTCTCCCGCATGTTGTTTATGTCCTCTTCTTCCTTCCAAGAGCCCTCTTTGATTATTTATGTTGGTAAACAATTAGATATTTAGATATGAAGTTATTGTTCCTCTTTTATTTGTATATATGGTGTTTTTATTTTTTTGAGGTGTGTGTGTGTGAAAAGTAATAAAAGTTCAGTTGAGTTATTTGAGCAAGTTATTGTTGTTTTACAGTGGGCTCTATTTTTTCACTGCCCCAGGTGTCATGTATTTTCTCCAGATAGCTGCCTTTCCTGACTAGAACCTTCCCATCTCGTTGATTAATGCAGTGTGTTTGTATGCCTGATATCTATATTTGAACCTTTTTTTAGACTCGTTCAGAGCTTAGTAGATGTAAGCTGTTATTCTTAATGTTAGAATAAACTCTGGCTTACCCTTCCCTGTTCCAGGTAGAATATCTTTTGCATTGAAGTTTATGCTTTTTCTTATACTGGAGTTCTTAATTTCATGAGCTACTTTGTTGATTTACATCTCAAGACAATAGTCACACTGTACTAACTCATCAGTACTTGACCAGAATAACATTCCTGTATACTGCCCAGCGTTGACTGATGGATCACTTGGAGACATGCTGTTCTGTCATGCAGTTCGTAATCCTGGCCTTATTATTGACATTGTACAAGGTATGATTCACTGTTCTGTCCTTGCCTTTGCTTTCTTATGCAACATTGAGCTTGAAATCTTTACAGATATACGACTGATGAATGGGGAAGCCATTCATGCAACACCAAGGAAGACAGGGATTATGGTTCTTGGTGGAGGCCTTCCAAAGCATCATATATGCAATGCCAATATGTTCCGCAATGGTGCAGATTATGCTGTCTATATTAACACGGCCCAAGAGTTTGATGGTAGCGATTCTGGAGCACACCCTGATGAAGCAGTCTCATGGGGCAAGATCAAGGGTTCAGCAAAACCTGTAAAGGTATATGTTTCTTCACAAAGCTTTAGATGCTGTTTCTTATGTTTCACATAACTCTAGTTAAGCTTACTTTGGTAAACATCATGCTGCACCTTGCTGTTGATTCGTCTTGCAATGAGATATCAAAATAATCGAAAAGTATATTTAAAGATGTATCTTAATTTCTAAAACATCTTAACTTCCTTCTGTCACTGTGGACAACTTGTGCACTGACAGAATTTAGGACGTTGCATTTTTGGCTTGAAACATGCACATCTTACTTTCTTTAATAATTGTAATGGATTATGAATTATTATCTGATTGTTTAATTGTGCCTTTTCTGCTAATAGAAGCTATCAATTAAAAATCAGCATATACGTATTAGTCTAACAATCTAATCTATTGTTTGAAAATTTGGAAATGCAGGTGCACTGCGATGCAAGCATCGCTTTCCCGCTGCTTGTTGCTGCGACATTTGCACGTAAGGTTCACAGCTCCAAATGAACAAACTGAATCGCTTTCGGTTGAGTATGAATGGACAGCAGAATTTTGTTCAACTCTCTAAATTACCATTTGGACCACGAGGTCTACTTCACCTGCACAGGGATCATGTGCAAGCTTTTTCGGTGACTCGGGGCCGCATGCCATCGTTCTTCGATGTTCACTTGATGCTGTACTAGCTGGTTGGTGGCATTTTTGTTGCAACCAATAATTTATTGAAATACAGACATACGATTTGTTCATCCGAGTCATCTGCTTAAGAAATTGACAAATGACCTGTTCTATGAACACATTTTTTTTGAACTGAAAGCCTTGTGTGCGCCCTTCTGTGTTGATGCACGGGCGGCATTTTGAGGGCTCTGATCTTCGCAATTGGTTTGAGGCTAGTTTTGGTACTCTTGCGTGCCGAGTGTTTGGTGTAAACCTGTATGGCTCTCTTTCACAAAAGAAGCCGAACAGTGGCTTCATCCCATGAGCCCATACATCGTTAGTGGCTCTTCTAATTCATCGATGCTCGCCTTGAGATTTTGCTCAAGCTCGACCACTCGCGGGTAGGTTGGGCTTGAGTATGCCCGTTGAACCTCAAATTTTTTTTTACATAAGCCTTCAAAATAGTGTAGATAGATAAGTAGATACTCTATCCATTAACTCTTTTATCTTGAATACTGTATAAGGAACGCCACGTAACTAGGCGTCTAGGCCAACTCCATTTTCTCGTTTCGAAAGACAAACACTCTTTTTTTTGTTTTTATTATCATGCTAAATAAAAGAGATGAAAAGAGTTGTTATCCTCTAGGGTTTGGTTCCCTTGCGGCGAGTGATGGTGACAGTGGTGCTTTGGATTAAGGTTTGTCTAGCCTCTCTACCTCGATGGTGTCTGTTTGGTGCCGACAAAGAGCTAGTGAGAGTGAGACTAGGTTACGCTGAATTTGTTGGTTAACATAGAATTTAGATATCAGATGTGTCAATTATAGGAAATAGTCGGCTAGATTTTAAATGCCATGACTTTGACATTGGTGACAACTTGCCTTTTCTTTCAGTTTGTTCTGCGGCAAGGCCTGGTTATCTAATTTCTAACCCTCTGTTTTGGCGGTAGTCAGTATTCTTAGTACAATATTCAAGCTGTTCCTTCTCCTTACTGCCTTCAAGTTTCGACGGATAGCGAACGATCAAAGGAAGACAACCAGAAAAGCCTTGGGTACCGACCATTGTTTTCCTTAATAATACCAGAAACGCCTTGGCTAGTTTTTGAGGGCTCTGATCGTTTTGTTTGAAGTCATCCTTTGTGTACCGACTATTGTTTTCCTTAATAATACCAGATATAAGTATTCACTGCCACCAAATATGTCTGCTGTCATGGCATGGAATTCAAGAAGATGAAGATACAAGCAGCTTCTTGGTGGATACATGACTTTTTCTTTGGCTAATTGTAAGGGGAATGTCCAAGTATTTGTCTACAAATGGAACAGATCAAAATAAAACACTATCATGCATGAATTAAAAAGGGATTGGATCAATGATGACTGCTAAAACTGCATTGGAAACAGTACAACACAAAGTTTTGTGAATCAAGCCATATCATGCTGCATTTTCATGATTTTTTATCTCTGAAGGTAATGAATAATTAGCAGCTACATTTTTCGAAAGTCACCAAAATAAGCATGTCTTCATACGAAATGTTGATGGATACAAGTTCTGAGTACCAGTCTCAGCACTTCAAACTTTCGGGACGATAAGAAAGATCTGGGAGTCATCAAGGAGCTTGGGACCTTAGTCTCGCCATATCCAGACGTGTCTTGAAAGAAATTTGGATTTCAAACTGAGCCCCAGGTATACGCAGGCGTTTTAACCAGAAGAGCTTCTTGTGAAGTTCGTGTGGTTTGGCTGTCTGTTCCACAAACTGTTTCTTGACATGCATCGAGAATTGTTCCCTGGACTTCTTATCAATATGAGGTGATCGCAACACGGTATACAAGGCTCGTGATTCAGGTAGTCCAATCTTCTTTGTGAATGGCAGAAGCCCTGAGACCTGGTTGCTTTGGCTCATAAAAGACTTCATCACTACGCGTATCTTTGCAGCCATGACTCTACAACAAAGCAGAGCTTTTGTCACTGTTTACAAATACCCTGACACCTGGAGATGGTAAAAATTAGCACTGTCATGTAACCATCAAGTAACACAGATATCAGTAAACAAAATCTGAAGCAATTTAGAAAATTAACCTTGCTGTGATATGGGTAATAACTTTATGATGCTTGAGCATAATATTCATCACAAATAGGGTAGCAGAAACACAGGGAAGACAACATATATACAGTGAGTACTTATAGTAAAAGGTTCAGTGCATGGATGGTAGCATATCAATTAATGTAAAGTATGATGCTCAGCCACACCATGTCAAACAGATTTCCTGGACTGTGCCCATAGGGCTACTTAGCACATGTTTTGCAGCCATAATACTTAATGGGCCCCATTAAAACCTTTCTACTATGAAAAATAGAAAACAATAAAAACAGAAATGGTCCTTTCTTTTCTTCTAAAATGAAGTATCAGCCTCATGGCAGACAAATGACAATCCATATATGCATGGTCATAAAAGTAACTGAGGGAGGGTACATAGCTTTAGTTGATATAGAGGTGACTGGCAAAAAAAGCTACAACAGTAGACTGCTTTTCTTTTTCTTTTCTTTTCTTTTTAAATGGGAGGGCGTAAATGAAGACGCGATGAAAGATAACATATTGACAGATAGAGATGAGTTGTTGCATTTAGTAAAGACTAAAGAACAGAAGAAATATGTCGGCCATCATTAGCCTTAAAAAGGTTAACACCGTGAAGTAAAGACAAGCAACTTCGATCGCACAAAGAATTGCAACAGCATGGCTAGCACCAAGCGGCCAATGGAGCTAACTCTGATCACCACGTAAAAAAAATTGCAGAGTAACATTCCATACAAGTTCATCCAACATGTTATTTGCCCCCCAAATGGTTGATTGAACAAGTCACAAGCACAGCGAGATATATTCAAGCAAAATTGAGAGTTTGGTAGAAAGCAAAGCATACTGCCTTCTGAAATGTACTGAGGAACAATGCTGCAACTACAAGTATAAAGTGTATCTCAAGAAGCCAGGAAATTTAATAATCAATCATCTCATGCTAATGAACAAGTGTGAACGGTTCCTCTCAAGCAGGAACAGATCAAGTATAAGACATGGGTGCAGGGGCGGACCCAGTAAAGGACATGGGTGATAATTTTTTTGAAGGCACAGTACAGGTATACACTTGCAATTAGAACAGATCCCATTACAAATAGCCAAATAGCTTAGGTTAGCCTTTGGGTGCTCCGTTTCGCACAACAAGAAGGGAAGAGAAGGGGCGGGCATACCTGGTGGCTACTCGTTGCCGGAGAAGGGCCGGACGAAGATCTGGGCACGGGGCACCTGATGTAGGGCGGCGGCGGAAGCAGCACTGCAGCAGGTAGCCCAGTCGGCGCAGAGAGAGAACGCGGAGAGCGCTGTTCGGCTGAGGGAGCCCACCCGCACGGGCCTTCTCCCTTAAGAAATTTCGAAAGAAATTGTGAAAAAAAAACGGCCCAGAAGAAGGCCCATGCGGGTGCGCTCTTTTTTTTTTCGCCGTCGCTGCATAACGTGGATTCCCGTTCCGTTCGCTGCATCCCCCTACTCGTCCGCTGCATCTCTCTCGCCCCCTCTCGCTCTCGACCGCCCGCCGCCGCCGCCGCCGCCGCCGCCGCCCTAAGCCAGGTGCTGAGGCTTTAGTTGGTCTCTTTGCCGGCGACGAACATCCACCAGGTACTCCCACCCCTTCTCTTCCCTTCCCTTGAAGCTGAGCACCGAAACCCTAACCTAAAGCTATTTAGCTACTTGACAAGCCTCCTAACTTCGAAGTTTTTGCAAAAATTATTGGGTGTACATGTGTACACCCATGTCCCTTTACTGGATCTGCCTCTGATCCGTCCAGACGCATCAGACGCTTAACTAAGGTTGTTGTTTTTTTTTCTCCATTCATATTCATGTTATCTTTTAGGGTTAGCTAACCAAGAGAAAGAAAGTGATAGGAGGAAGAAAGAGCAACGGGAACAATGGCGGCAGACTCTGGCGCTCGCAGGCAGCCAACCTTCACCAAGGTCGATCAGCTGCGCCCTGGAACCCACGGCCACAACCTCATCGTCAAGGTTGTTGACTCCAAGATGGTCGTCCAGAGAGGCCGCGAGGGAGGGCCCCAGGGAAGGCAGATGAGGATTGCCGAGTGTTTGGTTGGCGATGAAACCGGCATCATTGTCTTCACTGCAAGAAATGATCAAGGTTCTCCCAATTCTTTCCACATCCCCTGGCAATACCTTACACCGTCAATTTTACAACATATTACTGTTTGTGTATGCGACTAGTACTAATCCAGTCAATTTAACAACATGTTACTGTTTGCAAGTGCGACTAGTACTAATCTTTCTAGTCTTGAGGTGGTATCTCAGTGTTTCCTGTTCTGTCTGATGTTGTTGCATTGTGTACAATCTCAACTTTCCATGCTTTTGGTCAGATTTTGCTAAGTTAGCTTCCAAAGTTCATAAGCTTTGTTTGCTGGTACAGATCAACAGCACTAATGTAAGTTGAATTCATCATCTGTTGCATGTTCTGTTCTATTCTCCTATGCTGATAGCAGTAACCATATCAGTCCGACCTTGCTTCTAATCTGCTCAAACTTACTAGTTCCTTTGCCTGAATTTACATATTGTCAGAATCCTACATACTCGTACCTTTGTTTTTAGTGAAATGCTAAGATAGATGTCATGTTCTTTATCATTACCATTATCACTCCAGTCTCCAGGCATGCATACAACCTTTTTTAACGATTCGTCGGTACTCATCCAATTATAAATATCACTAGTTGGAATCTCCTTAGTGACTACTCCCTCCGGTTTCCTTCCTAAAGGATGTCATTTTGAGGTTGTCTTAAATAAAACATTTTAAACTTTAACTACAAATAAATTCTCTTTGGTTGGGTTTAAAAATATGAAAGTGATGTAAGTAGATTCATCTTGGAATGTAGTTTTATAAAAGTATATATTGACTATATTTTATAAATATTTTATAGCAAAAACTAACGGTCAAAGTTGTTTTTTGGAGACCGTGTCGCTGTCCAAAACGACATCCTTTAGGAAACCGGAGGTAGTATTTAGTTTATACCGTTGGTGATCATCTTCAGTCTTGACATACCTACATGATATAACTGTGCTTGCCAAATATAATGTGACTTTGCATCAGGGGACAAGTCTCATGTACATGATTCACTCTTTACTGAAGCATTCAGTTTTCTTAAGTTTGAGTTTGGTTCCTTGTGCTTCTGTGTGTTGTATTGCATATTGAAAAGTAACTGTAGAAATGATGGCTGAAGATGGTATTTTTTATTGGCTTGGCAAACTACAGGAAAATGTTTTCCCAAAAGGAAATAACGAAAAATTACTGCATGTGGCACGCATGGTTTTGTCACGAAGGCCGTTGATAGTTGTGATGTGGTTGCAACATCTTGCTATTCACCTTTATGGTGGCTCTTATCTGATCCCAATCCAAGGGATGATCCCAATCCAAGGGATTGGATCTAATTGACCTCCATCAGAGTAAACCTATCAGAACAATAAATCTTTCTTTTTTGTGCAGTGGATGTAATGAAGCCTGGAACAACTGTTGAACTGAGGAATGCAAAGATTGACATGTTCAAGGGTTCAATGCGGCTTGCAGTGGACAAGTGGGGAATTGTGAAAGCTGCTGAAAGCTCAGCTGAGTTCACAGTCAAGGAGGACAACAACCTGTCCTTAATTGAGTTTGAGCTGGTGACCGTGGTGGAGTGAAAACCTTCCTTTGCTTAGGAGTATTGTTGGTATGCTTTGAGTTGCTTATTTGCTGCACCATTACTTACTGTGCGTCGTGGCTACTTTTGTTTTGTTTTTGCGATGACTCAATTGCTATTGAATAATAATAAATTGGTGTTGTGAAGTGAAAAATGTCATGCGATAGTGGTGGACTTTTGCCGTGTGGTAAAAGCTTTTGTCCTGTGGTACAATATAGGGACGCAATCTGCAGTAGCGGCTGTTAGGTTGAAATTTGTTTGCTACAGTTGATGCTTATGCTTCAACTAAACGCTATTTGCCTATTTGTTTGAGGTGATGTGATCTCTTTGGTGTTAAATAAGCTGTACCTACCTGTACATACTTAGAACTCGGGGGAAACAAGCATGGTCATGGAGTAGCAGGCAAGAGAGTACAAGAAATGAAGGAAAACAAAATACACTTGGCAGAGGAGAAAGGAGGGAAATGCAAGCAGGCAGCAACACAGCGGATCACAGATCAACGGTACGGTGGTGTCCCTTGGCTCTGGCTGCTGATGCTGCTGCTGCCATGAGCAGGCGTTGCACCTCCTCCCTGACCATCTGTCGCACCACTGCCAACAGCTGCGCGTTTCTTTCTCCTTCCTGTAGTAGCGTAGCGTTCCTTCCTGCAGTAGCGTTAGCGGCGATGATGCTTGGCCGTGGCCCTGCTGGCTGTTGCGGCTTTCCTCGTCAGCCGCTGCTCCTGGTTCTGCTGCTGGGTTCTTCATCATCGATCGTCCCGACCGGCGGCCTGCCGATCAATAATCGATCGATCGAGGAAGGGAACTGCACCTGCACCTAAACCTGTGGTAGTGGCAGTGGCACGGCACTGCACGGCCGTCGCCCGTCGTATGTATATGCAACGTTACGTGCGCTTTTCAATCGGAGAACAAATAGTGTACATATGTGCCATGCCATGTCATGTGTGTGCGCACACGGTCTGTTGCACGCTTCCATGTCTGCATGCACTTTTGAATGAACCAGCCAGCTGCATGTTGGTACCCTTTCACTTTGTTTGTTGCATATTTCTCTCTCTCTCTCTCTCTCTCTAAAGTTTTTATTATTCTTCCTGATTTGTATTTACTTTTTCATGGAACACTGCAAATGGCTACTGGAATCTTGGTGTTAAACTAGTGGGATCATAATAATGTTTATTGGAACACCAATGATGAGCACACGCATTCTATTAAGGTGGAGAACTTTTTTTCTTGTGAGGCTTGACCATTTTTCTCTTAGAACCTGAAATAATTTTCATGAAGCTGGAATATTTTTCTCGTGAAGTTAGAGAACACCTTTTCTTGTGACCTACAACCTTTTTTTTTTTTATTTTGAAGCTGGAACAATTTTTTTTTCATAAACCTATAACATGTAACCTTAAATATGGACCAATTGTTCTCGCAAACATAACTAGTATCACGTTGTCTACGGTATGATATTATGGTGGTGTTATATATGGAATATTTTTTTTATCTAGATACCTTATATAATTTAGCTATATGCCGGTCCAAACTCTCTTGCTTAGTTATTGCTGAGTTTCAGTACCTTAAAAAAAACTCGATCTACGGTAGGTAAGATAGCTCATGACATTTTGCTAAGAAAGAGATTTTCTCGTGTAGGTCGAAAAAACCATCGAACCCCTATCCATCTATACACAATGATAACGTTACTAAGTTTCATGCATCATGACGTCTTGCTACCTTTCTAGGGAGTATCGGCTCTTATTTTTTTCTTTGAGAGGTTGGTCTTAGAGGATGCATGCGAGCTTATATGAAGACATAGACCCCGTTTGAGAGAGCTCTGCTCCCTGATTCTTCAGCTTTGCTCCTTGATTCTCCGATGGAGTGATTCCATTATATTCCTAGGAGGGAGCAGGGTGGGGAGCTGATGAGAATTAATTCTTTGCTGATCCCCACCAGAATATAATAGAGAGCAGGGCGAAGCAGGTTTTTAGCTCCCAGTTCCTACTGTAAATGGTGAAGTGATTCTCTTCTGATCCCACCTGAATCAGTTGATATTTTGAGCGTTTGGTTGGTTGGGAGTGATTCTTTTCGAAAAAGCTAAAGCTGGAGCTCTTCCAAACGGCTCCATACATATGGTTGTTTGTTTTGCTTGCTAGATTTTCTTGCCTCTCTTTATGAGCCAAATTGGCTATCCTAAGCTACCAAGGAAAATCTTGCAGCAAAGGAACCAAACATCCTAACTATTTCATTTTCTTGCCCGGCGAGGTGAGGCAAGCTCTAGCAAAGGATCCAGACACACCCATGATGTTACTTATTTACTATGTTCAGAGGAGCCTCTAAATATGTTGGTAATGAAATGCACGCATTGTTTGCTAGGTTCACTTGTTTTCCTATGCTAGTAGCATTGTTCTTTGAATTTTTGTGGTTGTTTTGTGTCCGTCTTTTTATGTGCATTCCCTTTTTTTACAACATTTTATGGGCTTTCATTGTATTGAAGAAAATACTGAGATGGCCATGTCAAGAAAAATTTACATTGCATGTCTTTTTTTTTGGTTGAGATGGCAAAATCCAGTATGTTTGTTTGAGATCTAACTTCGTACTAAAACTTAACGAGGCAAGCTAAAGTTAACTTTAACTCAGAAATCAAATACTCTATCCATTCCGGATTGTAAGATATTTTGACTTTTCTCTAGATATATTATTTTTACTATATATTAAACATAATGTATTTTTCTTGAATGGAGGAGAGAATTATATTAAAACTTAGCACAATATATTCCCAAATGACATATGAAAAAAATCTAAAATAAATAAGGTATAATATTCTCTTCAGATTCTTCCATCTTCTTTTCCCTCGTGTCTTTTTTTTATGTAGTCGATGCTCTAGATAAACCAAGTCTTGTCAGAACACCAAAACCAGAGTGCATATGAACGATCAACCCAAAACATTGGACAAGCTGCAAGATCCAACGTTCTGAAACCAGTTCAAAACACATCTGAATCGATGAAAGAATATCGGCAGTTGCATCGTCGGACATGGACACACGGTATAGGACGCACATTCACCACGTTCAATTCTTGATTTTCTATGCAGATAGTGGCCACAAATTGGCCATCTGTCGATGAAATCGACGCCTGCAATAGTGACATTGTCGTTGCAACCACCAAAGTCATCGCAGGTAATAAGATTCCGACCGAAAATCATATGATTTCGTTAGTAGATTTATTTTGATTAAACCTGAGCAAATTAGATCTAAAATCTACGGTGCAAATTAGGTTGCCGAGGAGGCGGACCTCTGTGCGGCCATGACCACAGCGCAGCTCGCCGCCAATGTCCGGCCGGCCTAGCTCCCTAGCACGGAGGAGGGGTGGCGGCGGTGCATGGTGTGGCTCTCTCCGTCAGTGAAATTATGGCTGAGCGCTTGTGGCTTGAAGCTTGATGGTGCCGCATGTTTTTTTTTCAAAAGGAGGATGCCGGATGTTTGGAGCTTAGAACTTGGAAGGGAACATCTACGAGCCTTTTACGTGTGTGCCATTATGAAAGTTGCTCTAGGCCTATATGCCAGTATAAAATTCGAATGCACCTATACACCATGACACTTTACTTTTTTGCCTCCCAAACCATTCCGTCCACTTTTCCATCTAATGGTCTCAATATGCGCTGGAAAAAGTCCCAAATGCCCTCACCTTCACCGTGCGCTTCTTCGTTCATCTGCGACAGCACCTCCTACATCTACGACGGTGGTTGAGAGACGGCCGGGCTCACAGCCGTGGGGCTATAGCGCCCGTGCCCGCGCCATGCACCCATGATTGCCTCGTCGAGCCTGGTGAGAGCACGATCGCCGCCCGGTCGCCGCCTCATGCGCCCATGCGCCTAGAGCTCACCATGACCGCCGCCTCTCTCGTGCTGGCGGAGCTCATCACAGCCACGGTCACCTACACCCCGGTCGAGCTCGTCCCACCCTTGGCGTTCCTCTCCTGAGCCGGGCGCCTACTTCAAGGGCTCGACGAGTCCGCCACCGTCCGCGCCCACCGTCGACCAGCCACCGTCCGTGCCCGCCGCCGACCAGCCACCGTCCGCGCTCACCGCCGGAGGTAGCTGGCTTGATGGGGCACGAACTTCATGGTGGAGTTCGCCGGTGGCGAGAGGTGCGTGGTGCGGGCGCTAGTCGAGTGTGTTCCCTGACGCGACGCGAGGCACAACCGCATCGACCTCGACAAGCCCGGGATGGTGTCGCGTAGGACACCAGGCAGCTCTCCCTGGACTCCACACCCTGACGTCATCACCCTGCGCCGGAACGCGTCGCACGGCGCCATCACCCCGCCACGCGCAGCCACGACCGCCACCGTGTCTGCGCGACGCCGTCGTCGAAGTGATATCGGCCTCCTCGGCTCTCTGTGCCGGTATGCACGCACGCTTCGCCGCTTCGCTGGTGATCTCCGTCGCCCGTATTTGGGCGGAATCGAGTAGTGCCGCCACATTGAAACAAAAGCGACCCCGGGCGGCCCCCGGGCGGCGGCTGGCTCGACCGCATCCATGGTTGGCTCGGTCGGTGGCGCGCGGCCGGAGCCACGTGCAAGACAGCCCCCAGCGACAAGCGCACGTCCGAGGAGGAGGACGAGGAGTCGGCGGCGGGTGATGGAGACGGAGACGACGGAGCACCATCGGACCACGCCACAGCTGCAAGCCTCCTCTCGAGCCGGGGCCGGCGGCGGCGGCCTCCGCGTTGTCGTTCGCGGCGGGGGCGGCCATGCCGCTGCTCGCGGCGTGGTTCGTCACGGGATACAAGGCGCGGGTGGCTGTGGTCATGGCTTGTGCGGCTCTCTGCTGCAGCTTGCCACCGTCTTCCTCGTGCGGCTACGGGAGCTTTGCTCGAGCACAGCCAGGTAGGCGAGCTCCCCTGACCGGGGCGTGGTCAAGCTCCCGATCCCGGCTGCCGCCGGCCCTCCTCCGCCCCGCCCCGGCCGGATCTGGAGGTCTGCCACCGCCGCCGGCCGTCCTCCACCCTGCGACGACGCCCTC